ATTATTCATCGTACCAATGTTTCTTTTACTCTTTTGCTTTCTTTTTTTAATCCGGTGGCTGTGGAGAGCAGTTTTAGCTGAAGTGCTGCCCCCTTGCTCAGTTCTTTTCACAGTAATTGTTTCATTCTTTGAAGGGAGTTCCAGATGCAAGCTGACGATTCCTTTTCCTTCGGGTTTTAAGACCAACAATGCATTTAAAGTTGGACAGCTAAAATTGCTGGGGGGGTTATTGTGGATTATTCGGGGCAGGTGGATCTTGGAACATTTTAGGACTGCAGGTTTTGCGTGTCCTTTTGAGTACTTAATCTCATATTCCTTCATTGGTAAGGTCCTCTTTTCACCATGGAATGCCCGAATGCTGTCTGGTTTGTCATTCATTCTTTCTCCCTCAGGGTGGGCAGTCATCACTGGAATATAGTTGTATGGCTTAACGTAGGAGGCCTCTAACTTTTTGCAGCTTGAAACTGCTTCTCCTTCAGTAAACTTACGATACGAGTTTGTCTGATCTCTCTCCGGTTGTATTATGCAAGCCAAATTTCCCTCAGAAGCAGGATTCTTGCTTGTGTGAGATACATTAGAGACTGTTTTGCTTATTCTTGGGTTCTTGGACTGTAGCTGGTTCTTGCAGCACGCGAAAGGAGTAGCTCTCCCCCAGCCAAGTTCCTGGAAAAATAAAATCATGTTGCATATAAAACTGGGAATTTTGCTGCAGGATTTTGTCACTTTGTAGCAACCAGCATTTAATGTGATGAACTTAACTTAGCCAGATTTTCTAGTTAAAAGTGGTTCTGAATTTTGGCTACATCCTTTTCTAGCCTTCTCAAATGCAAGAAACTTTCCCATGTCCTCTGGCTTTGAGTTTACAAATTCAGAATTTACTATTGCACTTAAATGTTGAACATAATTTGGGCTGTGGTGGTGTACTATCAGAGTACATTTTCCATGCAAACAATTGGCCCACCCACAATATATCAAACTGTTTTTTACACTCCCTTCAGTTTAAAAGTAAACATTTGCAAGTTTTACATAAGAGGCTACTACTAAAGTAGGACGCCTAAAACTTTCTTCTAATTTTTTTATACTGGCCAGTAATTTTTACAGAATCTTTGAGTTTGTGTTAACGGTTATGATGGCATAAAACAAGGCTTTGTATATATAGTAGGAAGCAACTTAATGGCACATAAGAGACACACTTTGTTTCTCAGCGCAAGATGCTAAATATGGAATAATACAACAGATTTTATCTCCCTTCTTTGTGATGCGTGCCCTGTGTGCTCCATTATCATTTTCTTTTTTTCCTACATCTGTTAAAGCCACACATTCCAGCTAAACTGTCAAAGGAAGATAGATCCAGTTGGTCTGAAGCAGTAGAACAAATTCAGAGTCCAGTGGCAACTTTAAGACCAACAAAGGTTTATTCAAGGTATGAGCTTTTGTGTGCATGCACACTTTATCATTCTAATGCATTTGATAAAGTGTGCCTGCACACGAAAGCTCATACCTTGAATAAACCTTTGTTGGTCTTAAAAGTGCCACGGGACTCTGAATTTGTCGAAGGAAGAGTTCAATTATGTTTGTCATCCTCACAAAACGTTAAATATCAGTGCTCTGTTGAAGACAAAATAAAATAAAGCAGAAAATCTTCAGAGAAAAGGCAATTCACATATACTTTGTTTCAAAGGAAACCAATACTGCACCAGAACAAGAACATCTGTACTTTTGGGCTTTGGGGCTAAGGGCAAGTATTAACAAAGGTCATGAGCCAGCCAGTTAAGCATTTTTAAATTTGTTTCAATAATAACTGTTGTGAAGTAGCAACTGACTTAGAGTGACCCTCATGGGGTTTTCAAAGCAAGAGAGGAGCAGAGCTGGTTTGCCATTGCCTTTCTCTGTACAGCAGCCCCTGTCTTCCTTGGTGGTTTCCAGTGTTCCCTCTAAGCTGTGGAGTCTTGTGAGCAAAAATTCTACATTGTTAGCTACTGGCATTAAAGTTGTGAGTGAGCGATTTGGCTACTGAATAAATTAGTTTGTTCTAGAGCCGTCCTTCCTGAGCTAAGACAAAAATCTGTGAGCTGGAGGCTAAAAAACTGTGAGCTAGCTCACACTAACTCAGCTTAGAGGGAACACTGGTGGTCTCCCATCCAAATACCTAACCATGGCCAACCCTGCTTTGCTTCCAAGCTCTGACAAGCTCAGGCTAGTTTATGGGATTCAGGCTGCTTTTAGTCCGTTTAGAGTATTTATATACCACTTCGCCAAAAACTTTGCCACTTTGATTTCAATAGGAGATTTAAGCACTGACTAAAGAGTCTCCCTCTTGGACTCAATGTGACATGCAGCTCCAGATGGTCCTGTTAAAACCCTTGAAGAAGCCCTGTTATACTCTCTTTGCTACCAAGTAAGAGCCTGTTAAATTAAAGATGGAACAAATTTTGTTCGCTGTAGCCCCAGATCTCCCCCCCTTTAATTTGAGGTTATTCTCTTGCCAGAGCAGCAGGAAACTTAACTTTGAATCCTATTGAACACTGTTCTTCATCTCTCTCACTTGGTTTAACACTGGTAAGTAAATTTTCAACTATAAAGTAACAGATCACAGAGTTCATATATATGAAGGCATACCATTTACTCTATGTAGGCTGAATGCTGAAGTCATGTAATCGCACATCCGTTTCAATATGTCGTAAAACATTTCTTTATCACTTAGGAGGCTTATGCAGTCAACTGACTCACCAACTTGTTACAAGGCATATCATGGCAAGTTAACACTTTTAGATGGTTGCCTGTATCTTCCCCTTATCTTCTCTGAAAGTTTACTTAAAACTCTACTTGAGTTAAATCACAGAGTCCCTCATAATTTCCTCCTGGGAAAGATTCCTCACTTGCCAAAGCCAACCATAGGATCCATTAGTTATGAGTGGTTGTCCACAAAAGGCTACAAGTCACAGACTTGTAGAACTGAAAGCTCAAGCACAGTTCCTTAAAAGTCTTCCATGTTACAGGCTGACCGACCAGTAATATTCATATCTCCTTGGAGATAATTGGGCTTTCCTAGGAAAATGGCCATTTGGGGGCATTTCTTCTATGTTGGTGGCAATTTACCACTTCTGTTTAGAATGCCTTCGTGCCATTTTAAAGACGTGAAGATCAAGCTGCCACAGGCTTAAAGAACAGCGACTATCTTAATTCTCCAGCTCTAACTGAGAATACGGATTCTTGCACTTTGAGATATGTAATGCTTAATTTGTATAATATCCATATAGCAGGCCTGTCTGTTCCTGAGTATGTCTTCATGTTGGTCAAATGTAATGTGACATCTGGACTGTGGAAGAGATTACCAGCAGCGCCTTCCATGTTGTTTTCCAGTGGTTACTATCATGACGTTGCTGCCAGTCATCTCCACAATAGCCCAGATTGTGCATTGTGGGGAGGACTATAGTGTTCACCTGGGCAAGAAATGCATTTTGTTAGCTAGCGGGTAATGTACTTGTGCAGATACACATTATTGCTGAGTAAGACCCCTTTGCTGACACGTTTCAAACCCAGTATTTGGATCACGGGTATTTGGGGTATAGGAATCTTAATCTATAAGAAGTATGAGCAAGACTTGTTTTAATTAAATTTGCAAAATTATTAGGAGAATAAAACTACTTTTAGCTGGTCAAATCTAAGTGGGCTCTGTGAATGTTGGATTTAGAGTGGCATTGGAATATCTGTACCTTCCCACTACTCCAAATCAGTGTTCCCTCTAAGCTGAGTTAGTGTGAGTTAGCTCACTGTTTTTTAGCCTCTGGCTCACACATTTTTGTCTTAGCTCAAGAAGGATGGCTCCAGAGCAAACTAATGTATGCAGTAGCCAAATGGCTTGCCCACAACTTCAATGCCAGTCGCTCACCAAGTAGAATTTTTGCTCACAGGACTTCACAGCTTAGAGGGAACATTGCTCCAAATGCATCAGGTAAGTTGTAGGATAATTATGGCAGGTGGTGATGAGAAAATCTCTTGACTCTACTATTGGGGAACAGTGTCACTGTACATACAAAAAAAGTATTTTCTGGAAGCCATCTATATTAAAACTGAGTTACCCAATTTCGCATGAAGGGGGAAAGTCCTAGTTACCTTAAACCAAAAAAGTAATATTTACACAAAGGGGAAAAAAACAGCCAAAAAAACCAGTTCTCTTTACTTATATTCTTACTTACATATTGTTCAAGCATAAAAGGAACTATTACAACAAAATTATGGCATCTGGACATGACCATATTCAGCTACTTTAGTGTGGCCACAGGTTATTTCAGATACCTTCAGAGGTTCTGTTCTGTCAAATCATTTGGGACAGGCCTTGACAACTGATGCCCAATCAAATTGCATATAACCTGCCAGAACCTCTCCAGTCTTTGTACCATAAATAGGAGTTTTTTAGTGGACTGCTTCACATTGCTGGTGGACTATACCCAGCTTGATGAGTTCTCAGTTGTGCAGATTTCAGGAAGGCAAGGCCCAAGTCCTTGGCCATCAAAGAGAACTTGGCAATGTCTTTGTCTACTTTGTTTGCTTTCCCAGTTTGTTGGGAAATGCAAGACTATATTGCTGGCCCTGCAATGGCTCCTGCCAGTTGTTGAAATCAATGTGAAGAACATACTTTGATGCAGCTCACAGTTCTGTAATACAAGGGACAGGAAGTGCTGAAACAGCAGCTCTGATTCCCCCATATAAGAGCTGTGTTGATCTCTCTTTAAGGGCAATAAGGTTTTACTATACCAGGGGGCCTAATCTTGGCTCTGAGAGCCACGTACAACAAGTTCAACAACTACTACAAAATGTGTTCAAGGGTGCAGTAAATGGAAATTTTAAGCTTTGTGCAGTCTATTCACAAAATAGCACCTATGCAATTAACAAATACCCAGTCTGGTTTACAGAAAACTTTCAATATTTTCTTTCACAGTACAAAGAGCTTCAAACAAATCCATAAACAGCTCCGCATAAAAATTACAATAAAATAGTCAGGTCAGCCTAGAAGGCAATGTAGTTATTGCAACACGGCTGACCGTTAAGGAAGGAAACAGTCCAGAAAGTAGTGGGATGTCCTGTGTTTTTGACTCATTTCCTTGTCTGGGTCCAGTATGACTCCTGCTTCTGGTGAAAGGGTCCCAATTCTCATCGGCTCTGCTGTCACGTGCTCCTTTTGTATGCAGAAAATGCATGCCGGAGAGATGACTCGTTCTTCTCAATGCAATCGCATTAGATACAGGTGTAATTTTCCTATCGGGCAAAAGAGCACAGCGCCAGTAGCACTGGTCCATGGCTCCTGAGATGCATGAAGTCTTAGGAAACTTTGGGGCAAAAGAGGCTCTCTCGTAAATTTTTACAGGCTCCTTCAACACATCACCTGTTGGGTCTACTCCCTTCTCGTGGCTGGGTTCTTTGGTTTTAAAAACCTGAGTGAAGGAAATTGTCTTTGAAACAGCATGGGATGCTCTTTCATTTGCCTGGAAAATAACGGGCTTACTTTTCTTTGGTGACAGGTCCAGGCTGTTTTTGAGAGCTGTGTCCTTCAGAGGTGGCAATACCATTGATGATTTCACAGGAGTGGCTTCAGAGTCTCCCAGATTACCTGTAATAGGCTCGTGGCTCTTTGTATCTTTGCATTTCAAGGTTTCTACACTTTTGGGCTTTCCCAGAGCCAGAATGCTATACTCTCTTATTGGCACCACTTTCTTTTCTGCTTGGAATAGCTGATCCTCCTTCATTAGAAAAGTCTTCTTTTCACTTAGAAAAGCCTGAGCTTCCTTTAGGGACAATCTTTTCTTTTCCCCTTGGGATATCTGGGCAGAATACAATTTTCCATTACAGTTGTCTTTTTTTGCATCATCTACCAAAGGGTAAGAGCTCAGGGCTGGATTAGAATAGAACAGACTTTGTTTTTCTGGAATACTGTCTGTGGTGAGACTTGCACTTAACTTGGGGTCTTGCTCCAAGCCTTTGTCAATAACTTGCATCAGATCTAAGCAATACAGGCAGCCACTGACTGACTCACTTGTCCTTGTTCTTCTAGCTCTTTTTTGTAACTGAAGATAAGCAAATGGGACTGTCTTGCTCCAGCCTTGTACCTGAGAACAAAGAGATAGGAATACAGATTAAAAATAGGGTGGCTTTGATGGTTTAAAAATCAAATACAACTAGGGTTCCTAACCATAAATCAATGAAATTTACTAGCATTTTAAAAAAAATTAATTCTAGGACAATTTTGCTATAAAATTTCTACAGGAAAAGCAGTAGTCGACCCAGCTTTTTCCTTCTACTTTAATTAAGTATTCTCTGCTCAAAACAATGCAGCTGAAATGTTTCTGAGCTCTGGCAGCATAGCCCATGTATTACTGAATTCAGATGACACAGTTCAGCAAACCTTGAATCACAGTTCAGCTACTCAGCAGTGGATACAAAGCGGCATCTACTAACTTAAAAACAGTTAACTTTTCCTTCAGGCAAAGGTTGCAAGTGTTGCTTTAAGGCTAGATGTCAGTGTTTAATGAGATGACTAACAGGTGTGTGTGTGTCGTCCAAATATTCCTGGAGCTCTTGAGGCTTTCTTTACTGTTTAAATGAAAAGACTGCTTTCTTTAGTACTGAATCCATTTGGGAGAGAATGACTAGCACAGTATTACCCTGTGGATTTGAACCCAGGTCTCTTTGTTCCTAGTTCAACATCTAAACACCACACCACACTGGCACTCCACATCAAGAAAGGCAAATTCAGATCTTAAAAAAATAAAAGTGTGGGGACCTACAGCAAAATCTTAACTGGAGATGCCAGGGATTGAACCCACGGCCTTCTGCATGCAAACCAGAAGCTCTTCCACTGAGCCACAACCCTTCCCCGATGTTTCCATCAACCATGTTTAAAGCCAACAATAGATCAATTCAGGCTGAAGCCTCCAAAAGATAACCAGTCTCATATGGACATGTAAATATGAATCCCCCGCAGAATAAGAGATTGGGTCATAGAGTACAGTCCAAAATAACTCAGCACACAGGCAGTAAATACCTTTAGTGACAGCAAAAAAGAAGCACATTGTCTATCAACCAATAAAATATTTGAACTTTGATACTTGTTGCACAACTCAAAATAGAGAAGTATAGATTGACTCCAATATAATTAACTGCAATCCTGTGTATGCTTAGTTGGATGCTAGTCCTACTAAATTCAGCAGGCCTCCAAGTCAACATGTATAGGGCCAAGCAAACAATAAGAGACTTGAAGAAACCTGAGGAATGTAAAGAGTATAACTCAGCAACTAAATTATAAATGCTGAAGCCAGTGATATAAACAGAATTTGTTAAAGGGTCGTCTCTAATGTAAACTTAGAACACTGACACCACTGACTTCAGCATCACAGACGACCCATGGCGTATTTATTCCTTCTTTCGTCCACTGATAACCAAGCATCATGTGGCAATTAAATCTACGGCAGCACCAACTTGTGGATTAGAGCCCATGGTATGGTTATGCCAGTGTGGTGTAGTGGTTACTGCACTGGGCTAGAATTTGGGAGATCCAGGTCCAAATCCCTAGTCTGCCACGGAAGCTCACTGGGTGACTTTAGACAAGTCACATTCTCAGCCTAACCTACCTCATATGGTGACTCTGAGGATAAAATAGAGAAGAGGATAAAGATGTAAGCTGCTTTGGGTCCCCATTAGGAAAAAAGGCAGGGTATAAATGGGGTAAATAAATAAACATCTTGGTACTTAAAGATCCATAAAACTCTTGTTTATGCTAGAGCAGAACAACTTCTCGAACTCATCTGAATTCTACTTCTCCTATGCCACAAGTATGCCTGTCTACCAACCCACTGAAGTTCCTCTTTACAATGCTGCAGCGCACACATTACAGATGGTAACTACTTTTTCAAAACATTCTTTTTCACATTTCCAACCTATGCAGTACTTTTTCGGAGCTCGTGGTAACAAATGCGGTTCTCCCTTCCCTTCTTATCCTCACAGCAATCCTGTTATGTACGTTGGGCTGAGAGAGGGGGGCTGAACCAAGCTCACCTAGCAAGCTTCAAGGCAGATTATGGATCTGATCCCACATATCCCAGATCCTGATCTTTATAGTTTAGACACCGTGCCTCACAGCCTCTCTAACCAAAATAATAAAATATAAAATTCCCACCTGTCTACTGAAATATGTTTACCCCATAAAAATCCAGCCAGTTTCTTATCTACAGGCCCTTTTTTCATCTTGCTGTTACTTCACGATGTGCACATATCTACCACAGAATACACTCTTCTCTTGCTTAACAGCATATGCTATTTTGTAGAGTTGTCTGACAGCTTCTTCTTCATAAGAGAATTTTTCCACAACCCCATCAGATGTGTTTGTCTCTAAACTCTAGCTGAATTAGCTACAGAACTGACAAAGCACAAGTTTATTGTGACACATCCGAATTTTACAATTAGTTGAAAGATGCAGACTGAGAATCTCAGGAAGTTAGTTATTTGATATTTATACCCCATTTGTCTCCCCAACTGGGGACTGAAAGCAGCTTACAGCAGCATTCTCCACTCTTCCATTTTATCTTCACAACAACCCTGTGTGGTGGGTTAAGCCGAGAGTTAGTTACTGGCCCATGGTTATCCAGTAGGCTTCCATGGCAGACTGAGAATTCAGACCCGGATCTCCCAAATCTTAGTCCAACACTTTCACCACTAAATGGCACTGGCACCCCTCATGCATGTCAGGGGAGCCAACAAACCAGAGTGTGTTGTAACATCCAAACTGGCCAAAACAACAAACTGTGGTTTGTTGAAAACCAGTATGTCTTCAGTTTCTGAGCTGTGTGCAAGGGGAAGGAGGACTGGGGGAGCCCGGGCGGGCCTAAAACTTCAAAGGCTCTTTAAGAGTATAAAGCAGATCCCTCTAGGGAGCTCTGAGCAGTTGCCAACTCCTCTGTACTTTCTCTTTTGGTTCTTAATTGGGCTAAGTGGTTAATTTCTGATTTTTTACTCTTTCCTCAGACTAAACATGAGCAACTGTTTCCAGCTGCACTACTAATGGATGATACAGGGACTGAAGTGGACCAAATCTACACCTGCCAATAGGATTATTGCTTCCCAGTTGCCCCTTCCTTATAATACAATGGCAGCTTATTCTTTTAAGGTTCTGTTTATTTAATTTTTGGCTTATGAGCTCTGCTAGACACATAAGCTGTCTTTGTTTTGACGTACTCAGATAAGCATATTTACAGTACATTCCATGAAATCTGCATGTCTTAACTATTGGGTAAAGAAAAGCAATAATAAAGGCTATAAGAGAGAATCAGTTAAAGCAACCGAACTGTTTAGTTCAAGCAACAAAATACAACTGACTTATGAACATGAGTTGTAAACAGAATAGCCTATCTATTGCATGTTGGAATTTTATCGGACATGATGGGAAATCCTCTAAATTTCAGCCTTTAGAGCAGTTTTTATATTTTAAAAATCCTTGCTCCAGCCAAGGAAAGTTGATTCACACATGCACACACTTAAACCAGCTTCTGCCTACATCTCAAGTGCAGCTGTAAATTGGATGCATCAGAAGATTTACACATTAAAATGCAGACACTATCTACATTCCCTTGATTGCAATAAAATGCAGTTTTTGATATGCATCCCATTCTGCGAAATCTATAAACAGCATTTTATATGAACTTAAAAGGAGACTGGCATGCCTGCCAGTAATGTATATTATTTATTAAGTACTTCAAAACTCCTAGAAGTATGCATTTATTACAGTTATATGAAGGATCTTTATTTCCTTTCCTGCCTAAAGATTTAAGGTAGCCAGAGTGCATGAGGCTTAGTTATAAATAACACTCTTATTATTGCAATTTGGGTTTTGTTGTCATTGTTCAGGAGTCTGTATTTACAGCATACAGTTCTCACTCACTGCTTCCTCCCATCCTGTTCCATTAACACACTCCAAAGACTTCTCCTCTTGCTCATCTGTACTGTTACTGATGCTCAGAAGAGCGTAGATCTGACTCCTCTCCCTTCTCTCATTTGGATAGGTGCAGCGCCAATCCCTTTCCACAGTTTTCACATTTGCAGCAGCTTTTTCGGAACTGATTTCACTTTGATTCTGGCCAGAGGAAGTCATTGCAGCTGTCCACGTTCTGCCTGTATTTTTAAGGAAATTTTTTTTTTAAGTAGTGCACGCTGAAAATTCAATTTACATCACCATAAGATATATGAGACTCTTTTATTGACTAGCTTTTGTATGTGAAGCATTTTGAGTTGCATCGAGTAACTTTGCATTCTGCAATCCTTACGAATTCTGTTCCACCTAATAAAAAGTCCTGTACCCCAACAGAAATTGTTCCAGTACATATTATTTCCTGGTTTATAATGTCCTATCATCAATTATGTTTTTTATGGGTACATACCATTACTTACATGGTCAGAGGCACACTAGTTATTAAAAAAAATTCATACAGTCCAAGAAAACTGTCTCAAAGTGAACATCCACACCCTCAGTTTTCTCCCAGTTATTAGCAGGAAAGTACTCTGCATATGATCAGAAGCACTCTCGCTTTAAAAAAAAAGTGCCACTAGACTCCGGTTTTATTTTCATAAATTTATTTTACCATTTTATTCAAATGCTGGCTTGAACATCCATGCCTTTCATCCCAACTTTCTAGTTCTGAACTGTTCCTATTACTGTGCGCTCTGCTCATGGTCAAGAGACTCCCTCATCTTCCAAAACCCAACTTCGCCACTTTTCCGAGCCCTGCCTCTTACTGTCTTGACCTAGAAAATCTGCTCTACCCGTCTTCATTTTTAAACTGTTTAATAACATCTAGCCTGACAAATCGTTCCAGTGAGCTCAAAAGCTTACACAATATTTTGCGCCACCTTGGTTGGCCTTATAGGGATTTTTGTTCGTTTGTTTCTTGTTCTGGATAGAAGCAAACCACCACCCTCCAAACCCCCCACAGTTCATCCCAATCTTTATTTACTTACTTAATTTAAACCCCCACTTTCTCCTTGTTCCTCATTTCTCCTTGTGTTCAGAAAGCAAGTGTTTCAGTTCGTACCTGCTTGGAAATCTTCCCCTCTGTCTCCACCTCTTAAACACCTGACAGTCCCATTTAAATTATTATATTGGATAATTCATTATTTTTTATTATTATTACTACTACTACTGTTTTTACCATTACTAATTATTACTATTTTATTGCTATTTTCATTTCTAGTCCGCCTTTCTCACTGGGGCCCCGAGGCAGATCACAAGAGCCCTGCCCTCTAGGCCTGGGCTGGTCCCCACAGCCAACCCCCAGATCCCCAGACTCACCCCATAACACCGTATCCCCCTCTTTCAGCCGTCCCTCGTTCCGCTCCTGGCTCCCCCTCCACCCCTAACCGCACGAGGGCTCAGCCTCCCTCCCCTGTCAGGCTCCGGGGGCAGGGCGGGAAGGGGCAGGGGGCGGCGCCGGCCGGCGGGGAGGACGACGCGGCGCGGGAGGCGGGCGTTGCGCGGCGCTGCTCAGGGAGATGGAGCCGCCGCCGATGCGCTCACAGTCCCCGGCCGCTCCCCCTCCTCTGACGGGCGGGAAAGATTTTGGGGGGGAGGGGCGGCCAGGGAAGGCGTCTGAGGAGGGGAACTGCGGAGAGCTGCGAGAGGAGGGAGGCGGAGGGGCTAAAGAGCGTGGGAATTTCCTGTGCAGCTCCGCTCCTGTTTTGTTGAAATAATCTCTTCTGAGCCATTCGACGTTTTACCCTAAAAACACTCCATGTAATCCATTTTATTACAGGACCAACTAAGGGCTCTTCAGCACTGTCATTTTTGTCACTCCTTTGTCCCCTTCCTTTCCACATGCGTTTTGCTCCCTCTGGGACTCCTAGAGAGAGCAAAACACATTGGGGGTGGGGGACTCTGAAGCAAAAGAAACACGCAAGTGATGAAAATGAGAATGCGGAAGAGCCCAATGTTGAGAAGAAAAATTAATTTTTTTGGGGGGGGGGGGAACCTAAAGCAATAGGGACAAACAAGTGATAAAAATGACAGTGCGGAAGAGCCCCACATTGTCTGGCCACGCTTTCAAGCTTGTCGCCATCCATTTTTACCGGACCCAAGTTTATCTGCAGAAGTGAGCCTGTCCCTGCCACATATTTTGTTAGTCTTTAAAAGGGCACTGGACTCTTGCTCTTTTCTAGGGCTACAGACAGACTAACACAGCTACACGTCTTGATCTAAGTTTAACTCGGAAATAACTCCCACTGAGGTCGAGGTGGCTTACCCCTGAATAAATGTGCAGGGCCCTGTTTAAGTGGTGTCACTGGATCCAGCAATAACCGACCACAACATTGCTGATCAATTACTCAGAGCTGTCAGCTGGGGAATAATAACTTGGGCAGTGTGGCATCCACATGTCACAGCAAGAGACACATCTGTGAGCCACTGAAATCCAATGCACTTTCCAAAATCCCACTGAGTTTCTCAAACTTCCCCGCCCCCTCATTTTCTAGATCAGAAACTATTTCCATTGAGGGTGAAGTCCAGAAACAATATCCTTTCTCCAATGTGGAAGTCTCCTGTTAGAAGAAGGGAACTACTAGATCCAACCCTTTGCAACTCTGTGGCTTTTTAATATTGTGGCTGTAGTTAAGGAGAGTGAACTTTGAATCAGGAAGTTCCCAGGTCAGATCTCAGATATGTGATGAACTCAACTCACTAAGCACATCTGAAAAAGTGAACAGCGAGTCACGAAAGCTCATACCCTACCATGGACTTTGTTACCCTTTAAGGTGCTACTGGACTCTTAATCTTTTCTGTCACTAAGGTACCTTCAGGCAATCTCCCTTTCATCTTCAATATAGGAATAGTATCTGCCTTGGGGTCATTTCGTAGAAAAAGAGGTGTTTCTAGATCAGAAACTATTTCCATTGAGGGTGAAGTCCAGAAACAATATCCTTTCTCCAATGTGGAAGTCTCCTGTTAGAAGAAGGGAACTACTGGATCCAACCCTTTGCAACTCTGTGGCTTTTTAATATTGTGGCTGTAGTTAAGGAGGGTGAACTTTGAGTCAGGAAGTTCCCAGGTCAGATCTCAGATATGTGATGAACTCAACTCACTAAGCTGTCTGAAGAGATGGCATCTGAAGAAGTGAACAGTGAGTCACAAAAGCTCATACCCTACCACAGATTTTGTTACTCTTTAAGGTGCTACTGGACTCTTAACTGCCGGAGCTCTGCTCCTGTGCGCTCCTGCAGGAAATGACCCCTGGGCCCCTACATAACTGTAGGTAATCTGAATGCTAAATGCATAGCAGAAAAGCTAGTGGTGCTATTATTAAGCAAAATTCAGCATTTGAAGCAAAATCCACAGAGTTCAACAAGACTTTTTCCTAAAAAGACATGTTCTAAATGTGGGTAAGTTTTCCCAAGATCAAAGGCATTTATTGCATAGGGGACAGCTTATTGCAATGGAACGAATGAGAGAGCAGGGAAATTATTGTGGAGAATGAAAATTAGGGTGTTGGGGTGAGTTCAAGTGATGATATTGCCCCTGGTGAAAATCAACCCTTCCTCCATTCACTTGCGTGAAACAAGTCAAAAAATGGTCTGTCATAAAAACCAGAAGGGTTTTTCAACCATGCAGTTCCAAGTGGCTTTGGCTTGTGGAGGGGAATTGTGTTCCCTCCAGAGGATTTTCCCAATTAGCAGGGAAGCCCCTTGAATTCTGCCTACCTGGATACCAGTCTGTACTACTGGGCTGGAATGGTGCTAGATGCAAATAAAGGCAGGCAGCATTGCAGGAGGCTGAGGTCTCAGACAGACACAAACATTCATTGGCAGAAATTGCTTGCACATTCAGTACAATGATATAACTGCGCATTTTAAAAAAGGTTGAATCAAAATATTTTTTCACTGGCAGGAGGTGTGTGATTTTCCTAGCACCAACTTTGCTCCCCCCACCCCATGATGTTCCTGTCTCCCTTGAGCAGTATTTTGGCAACTTAGTAACCTACATTAAGAGGGTGCGGAAGTAAGGGAAAAGTCTCCTCCCTTCTCTGGTGGAACTGACATACACAAGGAGACAGTGACCTTTGGATTCAGTCCTGTGTAAACATCCTAGTGACATGTTTTGTGTTGCATTTACAATAAAGAACAATACTCTTGGCATGCACTACCCAGGTGCTCCTGAGTAGTTTTTAGGGAGAGATCTGGATGGGAGCTTGTAATAAGCCGGGGGGGGGGGGGATAAAGAATGAGAAGCTAATATTGTGGGAAAGATTACAGGGAGTATAATGTACACAGGATCATACCCTCAAATGTGATTAGATTCCAGTTTTGTGTCTGTGGCAATTGCATGGATGTTAAAAACTTCTGTTTCTTTATAGTTTGGCAACCCTTGTATAAGCCAGCCTGCTAATAAGTATTCACAGAATGTTGGTGGGCAAAATAAGACATGTGACTCCTTTTATTGGATTCTCTAGTTTGTGTGCTCTTTCATCAACAGAGCTGGTACAGCCTCATTGTAGATCACTCTCTAGGTCACTTTACTAAATAAATCTTTAGTAAGTCATGGGGCAGTGGCAGAGACTGAAAGAGATTTGGAAACAGCCAAGTTGATACATTGTCATCTGCCACCACTAGCAAAAACCAAACTGATTGTTTTTCTGCCATATATGAATCACTGATAGAGGGCTTTTTTCCTTGAGGCATTTTTAGCATATCCCACATGAATATGTTCTTGTCACTTTAGATCGAACTCTCCAATCAAAAACAGATAAAACATCTAAGGGGGGAGTCCAATACATGTGCAATTTGTCCCCGTTTTCAGCTTTACCTTCCTGGCTGCCAGTGATTATCAGCCTTCTCTGATCCAAGGCTGGTTTTGAGCTCCTACGGCACAGGCATCTGTTCCATATATGCCTTGCCTTATTCTTGTCAGCTATGCTGCCATATTGTTTATGGGCCCGGGTTCACTTTCATGACCTGTGTGCCAGTTGCTGCTGCATTCCTTTCTTTTCGTATGTATGTCTTATATAATAACGGCCAAGAGTCTTGAAGGTGTTGACACCACTGTGATAGTGTCTATCCATCAATTAACCGTGGGACTTGGAACATCTTAGGAACGGTTTTCTCCTCATCTCT